CTTTGACTGGGCAGGAGCTGAAGGTAAGATGAGCTTCAGAGATGCAGAGAGGGTCAAGCCATGGCACCAAGCCTTGGTGCAGCTCCTTCAGTCCCTGTGTGGGCACATGAAATTGCTTGTCTAGTGGCTGTGTCCATGGAGGAGTGGGAGAATGCCAGCTGGTCCCTGTGGTATTTAATTTTTTCTCAGGAACTGAGTAAGGAAAACGTACATGGGATGAACCAGCTGGAAGCAGGAGAGATGAAGTGCCATGCCTACTGTCCCAGCCCACTGTGCCCTTGCACTCTGGATCCAGATACCAAACCTGGTGGGAGACAACTGCTTTTTTATACCCCTAGACACAACCCAATGTTTTCCAGCTCATCAAAAGGGTCTGGGATCAACTGAAAGAGCAGTAGGCACTGAGTAAGGCAGATCCATCTCAGTGCTATTTTGAGGCACTTAGCTTTCTGGCCAGCGGGTATGCTGTTATTCCTCTAATACAAGACAACAAACACATGGGGAATATATATGAAAAAACAGGTGACTCATAAGTGAGAATAGCCTCATTCTGTCATTAGAGGACAGTAATTTGCCACATATTTGTATCAACATTAAAAACATCTGCACAAAGCAGCACTGCCCCGTCACACGCTCTGGGCTGCACATGTGGCCACAGCTGCCTGCAGCAGGGGAGCAGGAGAGGGTCCACAGTCAGTCACTGTTTGACCCCAATTTCTTCTTTTTGTCTGAGGAGAGAAGAAGGGTGAATCCTGCTGCTTGGCCTTAAATCTGTCACCTGCTGCTTGGCCTTAAATCTATCATGAAGTAATTTGAGACTTTGAGTAGAACTTGGTCTTTTCTTCCTCATATTAAAATGGAAGAAGATAGTGTTTTATAGGTCTGTTACATCAGCAAGTATGCACTGATCTTTAACCAATGATGTGAATAGCCTTTTGTGCTACTACTGGACACAGAGCTGTCAGTAGAAAGATTACCTGAAATGAAATCTCAGACGAAAAGTGAATTGTGAATGGTCTTGATCAACTAAATAGGTGTGTTCACTCTGAGGACTAATGATAACACAGGTAACTGTTTGTATTGGGTTTGCGTGGCAAAGCTTTGGTAGTGGAGGGCTACAGGCATGGCTTCTGTGAGAAGATCCTAGAAGCTTCCCTCTGTCCATTAGAACCCATGCCAGCAGCACCAAGATGGACTCACCACCAGTCAAAGCTGAGCTCATCACTGATAGCAGTAGTTCCTCTGGGATAACATATTCAAGAGTGGGGAAAAAACTGCTGTGCAACAGCATCCAGGAAAGAGGAGTGAGAATATGTGAGAGAAACAAGTCTGCAGACACCCAAGTCAGTAAATGAGAGGGGAGAGATGGTGCTTCAGGTGCTGGAACAGAGATTAGAGATTTCCCTGCAGCCCATGGCCATCCCGGGCGGACCAAATATTCACCTGCAGCCCATGGAGGACTCCACGGTGGAGCAGGTGGATGCCCAAAGGACATTGTGACCCCATGGGAAACCCATGCTGAGGCAGGCTCCTGGCAGAACCTGAGGCATCATGGAGACAGGAGCCAATGCTGGAACAGGTTTGCTGGCAGGACTTGTGACCCTGTGGGGGACCCAAAGCGGAGCAGGCTGTTCCTGAAGGACTGCACCCCCTGGAAGGGACCCATGCTGGAGCAGTTTGTGAAGAACTTCGACCTGTGGGAAGGACTCATGCTGGAGAAGTTCATGAAGGACTGTCTCCCACGGGAGAGACCTCACAGTAAGAGGCTGAGAGTGTCAGGAGTCCTCCCCCTGAGGAGGAAAGAGCAGTAGAGATAATGTGTGTTGAACCGACTGCAACCCCCATTCCCGTCCCCCTGCACCACTGTGGAGAGAAGGGAGAGAAAATCTCATCATAAGGCTTTTTATTTTCTTGGTTTTTTGAGGCAGAGTTTTTGGTGTGGGCTTCTTAAAAACAAAACTAAAACCAAGTATCTCCACATATCTGGAATGCATCAGCCCTACTGCCAGTGGTGTGCACGCCATCTATTTATGAAAAAATGAATTAATTAATGTGAAAAAGCTGGATGGGGAAGGGCTGGAAACTCCTAATCCAAGCCTAGAGCTCTGCCAGCATGACTATACAAATAGAAGGGATGGTGCAGTTCTCTGCTCACTCCCTGGCAGCAGGATGGCACTGCTGCCGGGGGCAAGAACAAGGCATCACCTTTTCATCAGTACTCTTCTCTATTTCTCCCCATTTTGTAAGAGAAAAACAAATGTCTTTTTCAGAAAAAAAAAGTTTATTAAAAATCAGAAAATAGAAAGAACCAGGAGCTAAACATCTTTTTGGAGACAGGAGAGTGGGGGCAAGCTTTACAATGGCATTTCTTTTTCAGAAGTAATCTCCCATTATTTCAGGGAAAAGCAGTTGGCAGCTTTCACTCAGCTTGGTTTGGCCCATGGCACTGAAGAAACATGGAGTCAAATGGTGTGGAAGATGGGAATCCCCTGGTGCCCTGGCTACCACGCCCCCCACCTTGCTTCTTCCTATAGCTTGTTTTGAGGAAAGCAGGCCGCAGTCTTTCAAGGACGTTAAAGATCTGCTTCATATTTATTTCAGGTGCCAACTCTGAGTGCAAATGCTCCCTACTCACCCATTTTCAAAGTCCCAAGTGGAAGAGGAGTCTACCTGTTTGCAGGAGAGTGTTTGTTACTGATCCCTCCAACAAGTGCTCTGATCCACAGCAGCTATGGCTGTGCCAGTGCCCTGTTAATTTAGTTACCACAGCATGAATATATCTCAAAAGATACCTCACTCAAATTGCAACAGCTCCAGGCAAGAGGGCTGCCAGCAGGGAGCTGCCTTACCACTCAGCTTGAAAGAGCTCAAAGGTAAAGGCAGGTTCAGTAGTGACAAACAGGGAGCAACAAGCATGTCATTCTGCCTCCTGTTTCCTGAAACATAATGTTTTCAGAAAAAAAAAAAAAAAAGAAAGAAAAAAAAAGTGTCCTTCTAGTGGAGCAGGTTTATCTGAGCCTGTTAGGTGTCAGTGGTGTGCCATAGCCACCGGCAGGGTGATGCACCGAAACTCAGAGAGGTAGGATGATGCAAGGAGGAGTAAGAGGAAGGGGTGAAGAGTATCAGTGCTCTTTTCTGGTAACAGAAGAGAGAGATCATTGAACCTGCCAGAGCTGTCTAAACGTGGGGAAAAAGTGACACAAGGGGTGCCAGGATCACAAATCCTGGTCCTATAAGAAGCAGCGTTCCACATCCCGGGCTGTGTTTGTCCTCCTGGCTCAAAACAGAATGAAAGATGACGTGACACAGTCCCAGTCATTAGAGGGGTCATTAGACCTGCTGACACGTCTGGCTCCAACACATGTGGATTGGATGGTTTCTGAAGGATGCAGACTTTAAAAGCAGACTTTATCAATAGATGTTGTCCTGAACACAGGCCAGAGGGATGTGGGAACATGCAGGCACTCCTACCAGCCTAATGAATGGGTAGGAGACCCCATACATCTAGGCAGACCTTATCACATAAAACTATGCTTCCTCTGCCTTGTAGGTGATCTATTCCAAAATGGGCATGTTTTCAAACAAGCACTCCTTGGTGTAAAGATGTCATGTGTGGGGGGTTTGTGTTTGTGTGGAGGGTAGGGCAGAGGCTGAGCGCTGAGAAAGAAAGGCACATAGGCAAAGTCCAGGTACTTAGAGGTGCTTGACACCTTGCATGAACTAAAACCTGAGATTTTCATATATTTTCTGTCAGAGCTGTGTTGCTGGCATCTCAGACAGTCTTACAGCGGGAGACTGGTGAGAATCACTTTGTCCATGGTTGGGAAAAGAACTACTCATAAATGTCTCGGGGATGCTTTCTTTCCGCACCTGCAGGCCAGAGTCTGTTCCCTCTCATCCTGTGTCCCACAGGGAAATACAGTGGTGCTAAAAGCTCTGCGTGCATTTCCAGAGTACCTCTACATGCTGCCTGAATGAGCCTGAACCGCCAGTCTGTGCAACAGTCACACCCACCTTGCTGTGCAAGATGCAGAGCCATTCTCTGCACATACGTGTGTGTCTGACTGCACGGCACGGCACACACGGAGGAGGTCTGCTCTGCCACACCATCAATCTGCTACGCCCTGGCCTCGGCAGCCCTTCTGAATGCAGGACCCAGGGCACCTGCCTTTAAACAGCACTGACACTGTGACCACAAAGACAGCGCCTGCTCCCTCTCCACGGAGGAGGAGAGAGAGAAAGGAGCAATTCCAGGCTCTGCAGTGAGTGTATGACTAGCGCACATATTGGTAATAGCACCATGCCGGGGTCTCGGTGTGATCTTCCTGTTGCTCATTTGCTGGCAAGCGTGAAATGCAAATCCCTCGGGGCTTCTGTCTCCGCTCAATATTCACAGGAGCATGAAGGCTCCCGCGCGGAGGGGAGGGTGAGAGCCGGCAGACAACAGGGAGCTTTGTCTCCTCCTTTGTCTGGAGTTTACGGGTTAAAAAATCTGCTTATCTGCGAGGCTTTGCAGGGAGGGTCAGCTCAACACCCTGACCCCTGCCTCTGCCTCATCTGAGGGCCTGGCGTGGGGCACAACACCAGCACGTTCGAATTCGAGTGCAGAGGCCGTTGCACCAACGCTGTGGCTCCATCGAACCTGGTGATGGCGGGACGGGGAGCTCGGGCTGTAGGAGGGGTGTACCCCGAAGCGAGTGTGGCCCGGGGGGCTCAGAGCAGTTACCCCCGCCCGGGACCCGTAGGGCGATCGTTCCCACCCTGCCCCTTTCCTGTGGTGTGATGGTTCCAGTCCAAACCCAGTCAGCTCTCTGGAAATGGCAAGTGAGACACTTGTTGCCATGGTGATCCTTAATAGTTCTGACTCAGATGTAGCGTTGCTACGGCAACCGCATCCGCAGCCCTTGGGAGGCAATGCCGGCACGATTTTTCTCTCGTAGTGGAAAAGGGCTCCGAAGCCCCATTTTGCTCACTCCTTGCTGCAGTGCAGTGATGAAGCTTTTAGGCTGTTTTATTATTCTCCTAATGAACGGCAATCCTGATCCTTCACCAGAGGATCTGCTGCTATTCTGCAGGCTAAAAGCGCTCCGGACCGCCTCACCATGGGCACAGTGTCTGCACCGTAAGGCGACCCCAGTCTCTCCCTTCCCGTGGCTCATCAGAAAAAAAAAATAGTTTTCAAATGGAGCAGTAACCTTTCTTCCTAGGTATGAAAAGCTCCTTTCATCTTGGGAGCTGAAGATCTGTCTGGGAGGGGGGGTGGGGTGGGGTGTGGTAGTTTTGAGATGAAGAGCGGCAGTGGCTGTGAAAGGCAAGACAAAGGCAGAGCGCGTGTGATGGAGTGGGTGTGCCTGTGAGAAAAGGAGCGGATCTGTGTGCAGAGAGTGTGTCCGTGGGCATGGCTACGAATGTGAATGGGAGAGGAACTGCTAGGAGGGGAGATGCGAAGCGGAGCGTGGGTGTGCCTGCTCTGAGATGAGAGAGGGGACACTTATAGGCCTGCGCTTTTGTTTTCGAGACCATGCCTGCACAGGCATGGGGGGGAACAGGTTCAAGTTATGCAGATCTGCGTGAAAACACTCTTGCTCACATTCAGTCCGCTCTCCTGTTATCTGTACAAAGTCAGGCACCGATACACATAATGTTTGAAAGGCACCTGAGTCTCTAAGGGATGGATAACTGTAGGGTCGGGGTGTGTATGTTCAGTTTGCTCTTGCAAACCTGTCAGAAAAGATTTCTTCAGCACTAAATAATCCAGCAAAAATCATTTCATAGTATCCTTCTCAGACAGAGGCAAGTAAGAATGAGGAGGCCTGTGAGTTCTACATATCGGTATCCCTGGACCTACATCTAAGCCAACCCCTGTCCTGAGGGACCTGGGCATGGATCTCAAGGTAACTGCTCAGTGCTTTTCCTGAGTCAAATATCTGACTGTTCAGTCAGGCCAGAGGAGTCACCAGAGAGATGTTTAAAGCTCCCCGGACTTCTCAGGGGTTTAATAAACTTTCTCTGTGGTTTTTCCAGCTTGTCAGAGAATCACACCAGGCTCTCTCCTACCTGACATCCTGGTTCTTCTAGACACCATCTTGCACTGGTAGGACATAGCTGGATGTCATGGAGCAGGCCTTCAAAGAAACTGGGATGACTGAAGTATGGAAAAAATCACAAATTCATCATGAAGGTGGGAGATTACTGAAAATAACAGTCTGAGAAGGGTCTGAGAAGGATTTAAAAGTGGTAGATGCAAAGGATAAAGGATATTGCTAAAGAAATCAGTCACATTCTACACTTGGAGTGTCCAGGATGACTCTTGTGTGTCTGGCTTAGGTGACAGAAGGACAGAAGCCTTATTAGCGAGGGTAAGTTAGTAACACAAGTAATGGGGAAGATTTTGGCATGGAGCCTGATGAATGTAAACCAACCTTAAAGAGGTGCTGGGGGACAAAGACACAAGAATGAAGATTCTGGAGAGGTCCGGGATGGGGAAAGATAGCTCAGAGTTCCTGCAGTGTACAGATGAAGGTCCCCTGCAGGATAAGTTAAAAGGGAAAAATAGGGCTGAATTAAGGTCTGAGCTATAAGGGCTCCAGCAGAGAGAGGCTCTCAGGAAATGAATGAACCTGTGGTATCTGCAAGGTTTCAAGGAGAGGAATCTTGGGACATGGGAAACAGCCAGTGGAGAGTGAAAGCCAGATAGACATGCTCCAAGGGCAAGTCTAAGGCTCTTCAGAGGTTAATATGGCTTATCCAAGGAGTTTAGGGATATGGGGAGTTGTGAAGGTAATTGAAGAGACTTACTCAAAAGTAACTTTTAAATATGTACAATGACTTGCTTGGTATGCAGAGAGAAACTCATCCCTAGTGTAAACCTAATGAAATCAGTAGCTTTGGCTTTAGCTTAGTCTGTTAATTCCACATGGTGAAGGCAGAATGAGGGGAAGTGGCCCTTCTTCCCGCCTCCTTAGAAGAAAGTGCCCAGCACTGGGAAGGTGCTTGTGAGAGGCTGCAGCTGTGCCTGCACTGGGCCTGTGCAGTCTCACGTGAGCCTTTGTCCTATATGATGCCAGAGCAGGGCTTGTGCCCTGTCACTGCACGTGTACCTGTTCAGAGATGGGACCCTGTGCGGTAGCCTGCCTTCGTCTTGCAGCCATCCCCAAGGAACAAACTGGGTCTGGATTTGATTTCTTAGAATAGAATCATAGAATCGATTGGGTTGGAAAAGACCTCCGAGATCATCGAGTCCAACCCTTGGTCCAAATCCAGTCCATTTACTAGATCATGGCACTCAGTGCCATGTCCAATCTGCGTTTAAAAATCGCCAGGGATGGTGAATCCACCACCTCTCTGGGCAGCCCATTCCAATGCCTGATTACTCTCTCTGTAAAGAATTTTCTCCTGATATCCAACTTAAATCTCCCCTGGCGGAGCTTAAGCCCGTGCCCCCTTGTCCTATTGCTGAGTGCCCGAGAGAAGAGACCAACCCCCACCTGGCTAGAACTTCCCTTCAGGTAGTTATAGACGGTGATGAGGTCACCTCTGAGCCTCCTCTTCTCCAGGCTAAACAACCCCAGCTCCCTCAGCATCTCCCCATAGGACTTATGCTCCAGTCCCTTCACCAGCCTTGTTGCTCTTCTCTGGACCCGCTCCAGCACCTCAATATCCTTTCTGAACTGAGGGGCCCAGAACTGAACACAATACTCAAGGTGTGGCCTCACCAACGCAGAGTACAGGGGAAGGATCACTTCCCTGCTCCTGCTGGCCACGCTATTTTTGATACAGGACAAGATCCCATTGGCCTTCTTGGCCACCTGGGCACACTGTTGGCTCATGTTGAGCTTCCTGTCAACTAGTACCCCCAAGTCCCTTTCTGCCCTTTCACCCCATTGTGAACTCACAGATCCTTCCTTCCCAGTGCAATGGTGCTGGTTCTAGTAATCATGGTCTGTGCAGCATATTTTGACCATGACACCTGTTGGCATCAAAGTGAGAGGAGAACCACACCAGGGACAGCAAAGCCTATTGGATCTAAGACTAAATGAAGCATAGGACTAAATATTGCAATGTTTTTATCTCTACTTTTGGCACGATAAGGTACAGAATTTGCTGAATGTGATTTCTTGCCTGAGAACTGTAATAAAACACAAAAATTGGACTGAATTACTGTTTGGTTTGGGGTATTGTTTGGGGTATTGTTTGTTTTGGTCTTTTGTTGGGCTTTTTTTTCTTCTTTTGTTTTGTTTTGGTTTGGTTTGGTTTTGGGTCTTTTTGTGTGTGTGTGTGTGTTGTTTTTTTTTTTACAGAAAACAAGGGAAACTGGAGAGGACAACCCAAGTAATTTGTTATTTATTTACCCAGACAGTATCTAACCTGCTAGTCTCTGCTTTCTTTGCTCACACCTAAAGAAAGTGATGAAGCCTCTATAAGGCAGTAAATATTTTCCTTCTTTGTTGGTCTTTGGGACAGCTCAGTCTCTCTCACAGAGCAGCAATTTTATTAAACAAGAATTAGTGTAAAGCATGGAAAAAAGAGAGAATTATTGTTAAGCCATTACTCTCAGGAATTCCAGCAATTACCAGGTACATCATGATTATTTCAAACAGAAAATCATGCCTCTGCATGGATAGGGTTTGGGGGCTGGCTGGGAAAGAAGGAAGAATAGGCCAAAGTACTGCAGCTGTCTTCTGTGCTGTTTCTTGACCCTGATAGAAATAAATTGTTGTGCAGTTGTGTGGGTTCAGCCAGACCTGAGCTGCAGACCTTCTAGTGGGATTTGAAATCACCGACTAGGAAAAATGGCTGATGCTAGTTGAGGCATGGGGTTTGGGGGGCACATGTGTGCTGAGGCAGTGGAAGGCAAGAGGAGGTTGTAGGGCAAGTAGGAATGGAGAAAGGGATGCAAAGAAGAGAGGATGGTCTCTTGGCTTGGATGCTAAATTGGGTCTTGGGACGATATCTACTTGCTCTTGTTGAAGAAGATTTTGTTTAACAGAACCCCTTTCTTCACAATAAACGTCCCTTAGAGCAAAAGAAGAACAAGAAGGCAGAAAACTTGATCCCTACTGTTCCACATACATTTGGAATCATACTGTAGTGAGGGGTCAAAGCACAAGAGCCATGAAAATGTTATTTTTTTCTTCCTGTGCTTCTTAAGCAGTGATGTCCATGAGATTAGTGTTTACCTTGATTTAATGTCTCATCAGAAGCATGACTTCCCCGGCAGCCCTGCTGTAGTGCTACTAAATGAAGCGTGCCCTGTTTTCTCAGATGGGACTTAAAACTCTGTCCTTAGAGACCTGAGGGGTGGGAAAGAAGGATGGGGATAGAGTGATAGATATTGACCCACCTAACATGTACGTTAAATTAAATAACCAGGCTTTATTTTTTAACCTATTTAGTGCAGTTACTGTTCTCTGCACAATTGATGTTCGTGTTTGTAGAGGTTACTGGGGTGGCAGCCACCACAGCATGAGCCTCCCTTGCTCTGTACCTTTCCCATGACTCATTCTATGGACGATCTTCATGTGTAAGGACAGACACTGTCTTAAGGAAATAGAAGAGAAAGGGAGAGAGAGAGAGTGAGCGAGAGAGAGCATTTTCTCTGCCAGTTAATTGAATCCAGGTCTTCCCTTCAAGTAACACTGGAAAAGCCTTATTGTCTTTTCACAGTGAGGAAACATTTGCTCATGAAGGAGACGAACAGATGAAACCCTCCAAAGTCCCTTTGCTAAAGATGTCAAACTAAATTTGGATCTCATCTGCTCTTAAACCAGAACTGACCACGGTCTATGGGAGAACGTCACTGATTTTAGTGCTGCAGTAAGCAGCAATATGGCTCAGTGACTTATCCAACTTGATGACCAATTTTTCAGTGTATCCTCATTTTCCTTTTTCCTCTTCTCTTCAGCATATCTGCCCCATACTGAGTCTCTAAGAAATCCCACTCATTAAAAAAACCCTCCTTTGAGGGCCTGTTGTGACAACCCTTTGAACTTTTATGCTGGGAGAGCACAATGCACAGGACACAGAATTACAGGCAGTTAAATTGCCTCATTAAGAGAATATTATTAGGTCCTATGTGGTCTTTTCCTATCAAACACTTTTGAATACTTTATCCAAGCCAGTTTTATATCACAGGATCCCTGCCATTTCCCCTGAGAAATTCTTCTTTACTCTCTTCTCTTTGCATCTGTGCGCCCAGAAGGGCTGAATGTGAGGTGTGACGTGGAAAGGGTGCAGCATCAGAGTAATTCCCTTGCCACAGCATGCCCAAGAAGGACTGTCTGGGGAGGACACTCTTCTTTCTGCACCAGAACATCTAGTGTCTGCACATCCCAGAAAACATCTTTGCCCTTGCAGCCGAAATTGCCATTTTTTTTATTTTTTAAATCCCACAGAGGTGTATGCCTCTGTTCCCCCCTGAAGTGTTGAGTTTGGTTTAGCACTGACCTACCAGCTAGGAACTGTAGGATCTTCATAATTCCACTCCTTTGTCATTTCTACAGGGATTTACTCCACTGAGATCTTTCAGACTGTAAATTTTCTGACCTGATGATTGCACATTTCTATTTCACAGCGTCCCAACCACATGGACCTTCTAGGCAATGTGTGCTAACACTTTACACATATCCTGACATCTTCTCTCATTTCCTATTAATCTTTGGTCACAGTTCAGAATTGCCCCTGCATCCTGTGTGATGGTTTGCCTTTTAATGTTACTGTAACCTGTAAAGAGCAGCTTACCCCAAACCAGGAATCTGTGTGTGCTTGTGTGCTTCTGACTGCTTTCTAATTAGGAAGACCTTAATTTACAACCTCCCATGTTCCCTGCAGTGTGCCCTGCAATACTGTTTATCATTTGTCTGCCAGGATCTATGCTGGCTTGCCCTCACCAAGGGAGCTGCCTTCTGTGCTGGTAGGAGACGTGCCTCAGCTGCTGATACTGGGGTGGGAGATGGGGGATGTTTTACACATGAGGTTACATGGGGTTTTCTTTTCCCCCTGTTTCTTACAGGACATTGAAGTGGTACTGCCTGGGTTCATCTCTGCTGCTTCCCTCCAGGCAAAGAGCCATGGTAGATGCCTGGTCATCTTGAAAAATGGTGCTTTTGTGCTGTATGCTGAAACACACACAGTAACTGATGGCCAGGATAAGAATCAGAGGCTCAGCCAGGGTAAATTGCCATGGCTTCAGTGAAGTCAGTAAAGCTAATCCATTTTCTTCCAGCTGAGATTCGGGGAGCATGGATTAACTCTACTGTCTGGAATCATCCTTGATTACAAATCCAGGCATAATGAAGGATGTGGCTCCACTGACCCCCTTGTTCTGCAACACCTCGAGCTTGTCCTCCTCACGGTGGGGTTCAATGGCTCCTGTCCCCTGCCTTCCTGCAGTGCATAGGAGAACAACCTGGCTGCTCATTCACAATGGGGATGAGGAATGCAAAGGGAAAGAACCCACTGTTTGTGTGCTGAGATGCATGCCAAGGCAGCCTGAGTCCACAGAGACTCTCTGATTGATGTGACAGGGAGGGAGTGACAAGCCTGCTGATGCATTAATAGCATTCTACTCCAGCAGTTCTTGCCAAAAAAATAAAACACCTGTGACAAAAACTAAACCAGCTCATTTGCTCAGGGCATAGACACACAGGACCTGAGAGCAGCTACCTGATGTGAGTTATGAAGCCTTGCCTTTCTCCGGGAAGATGAGTGTGATAACACTTGACAGGTCAGGCTCAGGGTGCTCTGTGCTCTGCTGTAATACAGCATTGGCTTGGCCTGTCCCTGAAGGGCTGCCACCCTGTGACTTGTAATTCAGTCTTAACTGCAGGTCAGGAGATGAGGAGTAGGCATGTGAGCCTGCATATATATAAATATAACACGAAGTAATGGACTGGGGTTTTCCTCAGGAAATACTAATTTTCCTCGTCACTTTTACCAAAAAAGCATTTTACTTGACCGGCAGAGGTCACACTGAATTTTGGTAGAAGGCTGGTAGAAGCTGGAAGAAAGCTAGACCAGCTCAGCTGAAAGAGTAATATAAATGTGTAATACCTAATTGCCTGTGAAATCCATCACCCTTTTCTACCAGCCCGCACCATCAGGGCTGTTGGTGTGAGAGGACAAGACCTTCTCTTTTCATACCTGCCTGCTGGATCATACACTTTTCTGTCATCACATTTTCTGGGTTCCTATAACTTTCCCTCATCATTCCTGTGGTTGAACATCTTTTCCTGAGTGGTGAGAGAGCAATGCCTC